GAACATTTGAAAAATTGTCGTATTTGCGCGTGGCCGGTTGACGATATTGACGCTGCTGCAACACATACATATCAGCAACAACATTGGCAATATACAGCGTTGGCAACTAAAGCTAGAATGCACATATACATACATACATACATACAGACATACATACATAACTATGCGTGTCTATACGCTTTAGTCTAATGCATCGAGCTTTTCGGCTTTAGTTTGCCTACAATGAATGCTGCTATTGCAACATTTGTTGCAATTGCTTTTCCGCGTTTTTTTTTTGTTGTTGTTACTATTGCACTTGTAGCCCACACTATTCGTTTTGCCGGTTTGCCGCGCTTCTCCGTTTACTTATGTATTTGTATCTGCCCTGGTGGGTGGCTGCTCATAAATAAATTTATGTATTACAACTTTTTCACGCTTCTCGCATCTTAAACGAGATTTGTTGCTGGAATCACAAAGTCAGCACATATTTACTGGCAAAGAAATATTGGTTACTTTAGCTGGTGTTGCACATAAATTTATTTGTCTAATTGGCTGCCGGAAAGTGTGTATGCTCATATGGTTTTCTTGTTATTAGAAACCTGCTGCACGACCCACTGTGGGTGGTGGTATTTGGTCATTGGTCATTGGCCGCTGGGGTTGTGAATGTGATTGGTTGTGAAGTTTGAGTAAGTTGGAAAAGAAGAACTTGAATGATTCTATTTCTTCTTCATATTTATAGTTTATATAGACCACTGCTCCGCTAATATTCCCGTGAGTGCCTTAAGAAACTCAGCCAACACTTCGTTCTTCGTTCATCAATCGATGCCCAAACTGAATGCGATGCTTTTAGTAGCTGTTCTGATATTATCATTCACTTGTAGCCATCGAATGCTCAGAAAGACTTGTACGTTCAGACTCGGTTAACCCAGATCTATCTCAGACCCCTTGGCTGTACGAATGGTTTATTTTTTTAATTTTCCAGAGAACAAATGTCCCGAAACCCGCAGATTAACAATGTACTGCCGAAAAAGTTGTGGGATCTTCGTCATTCATTAACACAGATGAAATTTGGGGAACCAGAACATATAGCGAAATGAAGGTATCGGTTTTTGATAGGTAAAGTCATAGAAAATTCAGGAGAAGAAGCTTCGTTTTATATCTTTACCTTTACGTTAAGGAATTTTGTATTTGATTTTCGTGGAGCTCTTTGTAACCTTTAAGGACGCTACCTGCGGCTCTTATAGGCCCAAAGCTTGCCCAGCCCTGGTCTATAATGTAGGCTAGTTTTAAGACAGCAAATACCATTATGCTTACCCACTTCTCCGCCATGGCAATTTTATTCATATTTCAGAATGAAATACACTTCAGTTGGCTGGAACACGGACTCAAGGCGTATGTGGGTAAGGCACAACTGCTTATCGCATAAATTGTTGGTAATTTGGATCAACGAGGCGCAGTAAGAGTTTTTATTTTTGTTTATTATTTTTCTGTATTAAAAAATTAAAATTCTCGCAAAGTAGCAAACTATCGCCTCTGCTTACAATTTCGTAACTCTATCGTTCGTTTTCGGCTTGTCTTTATATCGATTACGTTTAAGCTTTATTATTGCCGAACTAATTTTCGGACTCAGTTGCCGATATTCGGTGGATATACCGACCCATCTCTGATACTCGATACCTGTACCAGTAGGGCGCTCGAAGAGGTTGACTCCAACATCACCCAACTACTAACTGGTCAAGGCTCCTTCAGACACCACTGGCAATGCTGTAACTACAAAGATGCCGGCCATTGCTAAACTTGTCAAGAGGGATTGCGATCCGTCAGAAGTAGCCACACTGGCGGTAAAGTGGACAGGCAAGGAGTTTTACTTAGTTAGGATCGAAGCTCCACTCTATAGCCATGGGTAATTGCGCAATTTTTTTTTGGCGCTAGCTCAATAACGCCAGCGCCACCTGTGGGGTCAGCACACTAACCCAGCGCAATAGCGCAGTGTACTGAATTGAACACGGCGCCGTCTGAGTGTCACCACAGTACCCATCGTCATGCAGTGCAGTACACCATACAGTGGTGTCATGTCTATTATTTCTATAATTTTCGGTGCTGAGCAACGTTTGTATCGCCAACTGAATTTAATTGCTAGGAATGTAGTAATTGCCACGATATTTTATCATTCTTGAGTAAAAGCTTTAAATTCGCGTTCTCAACACTCAAAAGCAAAAACAAAGTACGTGGACATTTTCAAAGAGTTAAGGCGAATTGTGTGTGTGGCTCATGTGTTGCTTGGTGTTAATGGCGCTGGCGCTTTCCATATACTGGTGTTGGCGCGGCAACTCCGGCTACGGTGTTAAAGCAGTTGCGCCGCGCAGCGCAGTGTTACCCATGCCTACCACTCTATGAGGATTAGGCTTTCGAGCCTTTCTCCCTGTTAAAAAAAAGCGTAAAGGTTCACACACTGAAAGAGCAGAGCTTAATAAAATCGGACAAAAGTTCGGAAAATGCTGCTTTAAAAAATAATAATCGCAGTTTATAAAGAAGTGCGTACTTTCAAATTTACAGAAAAATTTCCTAAAGTAAAAAAAAATATGTACAAAAAGTAAAAAAAATTGTGTCCCCATTGTTTGCAGCCAGTGAGTAGTAATGAAGTAAAGTAGGTGGGTACACATACCAAAACCTTCGAAGCGCCTGCAACAAGCAATTGCTGTCTTGCAATTTAATTCATTAGGCACGACACGCAATGCAAAAAAAAAAAGCAGTAAACAATGGTAATCTAGAAGAGCAGCAACGCTTCCGACTTTCGTGTCCAAGGCTTTGAACATTTGGCTACTGAACTAGGTTTTTTTTTTTTTTATTGCTTGCTACACATATTGCATATTTCTGGCAACAATGCCAAAAAGCCAAGCCAAGTGGTCGAAAAAGTGTATGCAGTGAACAAAGAGGCGCTTGTCCGCAGACAGTGAGTCAGACAAACGACGAGGGAAGGAACAAGGGCTTAGTAAAAGGTATGCGGCGATGGCGGATAAATAAGTGAATTTTTGGGCAGTAAAAGAGTGTTGCATACATACATATCAATATACGAACGCAGGCATGTTATCAAATGTATTCATGTTGCTTATGTTCGTAGGTGAATTTATTAAAAGCATTCACTCGCTGCAAAAATTTCAGGACCAGGTGGTGTACGGGGGCATGGTTTTAAAGTATGTGCAAAAGGACCAGGTTGCTAACTAGTAACTTTTTATACTGACCTGGACCAGGTCAAAGGTAAAAAATGCATATAGGTATGTGTTAAAACACCAACCACCTCTTCCACCAATTTGATTCGGCTGCCGAAAGTGCATATAAGTAAAGCGAATTTAAAAAAAAAAGGCTTTTTAAATAATGAATTTTATTATTTAAATTTAAAAAGCATTTTCAAAATTATGAAATATTCGGTTTGTACAAAATCTTACGAAATTCAGTTCATGGTCGAAGAGGGGTCGTTGTGTATTATGCAGCGATGGAGCAGCAGTGGTTAGGGCCAATGGCATCGCAAACAGTACTGTAACCATTTGGATTACTAGTGTTGGTTGCAAGGAAGCGTGGTCCTGTACCAGTATTTAATCTAGTCCCACTTTTTGCAGGGCTCCGTATGCCTTGCCTGTGTGTGAGTGCTAATATCTGCATATTTGCTGTGTTTGCCATGCTTTTTCTTATCCATTTGGCAAATTTGCTGCTCTTTGCCGCATACTTGCATATGTAAAGCTATGCTGTGAATGCAGTTAAGTGCGTACAACGCGGCAACAAGGCATGCCAATAAGCTAGCAACCGACCTATGCTAAATATATGAAGTGATCTGTATCAGCCAAAATTTCCACCAACTACCTCGCGTCTATGCAAAAACGTTTGCCAAAAAAGCGATTGGAGTGGTACTTACTTGATATATGAACATTGTTCACAGGTTTGTAAGTGCGTAGCTATGTATGTATGTATGTATGTGTTTGTGTGTGTGTGTGTGTGTGTGTGTTGTGTTGCTTATGTGTGCGGTAAACAATTGCAACAATTGTTGCAACACACCAGACAATTACATTAGTAGCTTACGTGCGGCTTATGTAACAATAGACATCATCCTTATCCTTAAATGGGCTTAAAGGCACAAACATTTCTTTTGTCTTTGTCCATACAACAGCTCAGAGCTTATTTAGCTCATCTCAGCGTGGCGAGAGGGAGTGGAAAGAGGGATGCCGATCTACATATGTGTGTGTGTGGATGCACGCCAGTGGCAGAAAGTTGGCTTGCAGCTGCAGCGGCGCTCATAATGTCGTTGTGGCTGTTGGTATGTTTTTACCTTTTAGCGTGCAAAGTCAAGACTTGCTTTTGCAAACGGTAGCCGGTAGCTCGACTAGTAGCAGCAAACCAATTGAACAACTGAAACGGATGGTTTCGCATTGGTGCAGTGCACTGTGGTACAAACCCAAAATATTTTATGGAAAAAATTTGGAGTCGGCGTAGAACCCGAATTTTCCGTATGCAACATTTATGGACATAAATCAAGAAAATAAAAACGAAAAACTAGTATGGTCGACTTGTTTTAAAACATACCTTCCATATAAGCCTAATCCGAAAACCGTCTTAGAAAGTGCACCGATGACTTGATGACTCCGTGCGGCAAACATCGAAAGAAAAGATACCGATCTTAACTTTTTAAAAGTTTTTGTCCATAAAAGGTGTCAAAGTCGGCATTTATAAAGTAAAAGTTTGGTTTGTTAATAAGTAGTTAACAAAATATTTGCTCGTTTGCACTGCAACCAAAACAAAAGTTTTTAGAAAAACACACTGCCCAGCTCAGCAACAAAAGTCCCAATAAATTTTAGTTGAATAAAATAATTCTGACTTCTGTCACTTTTATTTTGTATAAAATTGTAAATTTCGTAAAAGGTCGAAATGCGAAAATTTAGTGCTCAAAACGCTGAATATTTTTCCACCATAATCCCACTGTGCGACGCCATAATCTCATACATGCAAACAAACATACATATATACAGATGCAGTTGCTTGGCTGTAACCAAGCCCGGAAATGAGCACCTCTGCACCCGCTCTGAAACTCTAAACGCCTTAAAAATTTACTTCACTTTCAAACCACTCCATAACTCAATTACCCAGCAGCCAGTTACGGCATACCCACATATTTAGCTACGTACACGTATAGGAGCGCGCCTGCCATTCAACTCGGAAAATTTTGCTCTATTACCTCTATGGATCTAGTAGCCATATATGTCCCACGTACATACATACATATGTATATAAGACGTCAGATATATTCTGCCAGCAAGCCCTGACCCCTTTTAAATAGTTCTTATGCCGCTTACTCACCTCGGAACCAACTCCATTGTCGTTCTATGTCTAAAACTTCGACACAAGTTCAACGCTAATAAATCAATTAAGCATTTGCTGTTAGTCTGTTCGTGAGCGTGTGCGAGCCGGTAAGGTAAGGTAAGGTAATTTAAATAAATGCCACCACAACAACAGCCACCACCACCACCACCACCACCACCACCACCACCACCACCAATGTGGCGCATATTAACAACTCTATATCCTCTACCTCGACCTATCTATCCTATTGTGTGCTTAAATTCCTTACAATTGTTGTTTGGCTTGGTGTTGCTGCTGCTGCTGCTGCTGCTGTTGCACTTGTACAATACAGCTTCATTAAAATTGTTGCAATGTGAAAATACATATTTACATATATCTTTACATGGGTGGGTGAGCGATGTAATGGCGCGCCGCTGCAGCAGTCAAGTGGGTTAAGAAGGTACGCGTGGGCGGTTCAGAAGTTTCACGATTGCCATGTATCCATGTTGATGCAAATTTACTCACCTATATGTACAATTGTGTCACATACATATCTACACTTATCATTACCTTTTATAAAGCTCACTTGTTGTGAACTTAATGCTCTTGGCGCATTTTAATGAATTTATTAGTTCAACAGTCAGCCACACCCTTTTGCTAAATTGAATTATTCGACTGTGCATGTCTGTGTTTATGCATAGGTATTTGTAAGCCGTAAATGCTCACTGCTTTGGTGATTTTGCAAAGTACTCTGCACTAATTAATATTAACTCCATTGCGCCTTTACAGAAAATATGTTGACAATTATTGAAACTTAATTCGATGAAATGCAATTAATGGGTTTGTTAAGCTGGTATTCCAGCCATATAAATCGTAAATTTACTTATGATCATCAATTATCTGATGATGCTTTCTCACAGAGAATTATACAAGCGCACGCGGACGCTAAGTTTGCGGAGAGCTACAAGTTTCGTAAACACCCGCATGTATGATTTTATTGATAATATCTACTATATTTCACAGTTGAGTAAAGATATGCATATAAAAAATATATATCTACTTATTTTTCTTATTTGTCTCTAAAAATGTCTGTCGGTTTCGGACCGTGACCAAACATCTTCGCCAATTGGCCACTCTCTTACGTTGCCCCCTTCTCTAATCTGGAAAATGCTGCGCTAACGGCCCTCCGTTTGAGACCGTCGATGTCCATGTCATCTGCATACGCCAGCAGTAACGCATTTTTGCTGCGCTGCAATTTATATTAGCAGATCGTCGAATTCAGATTGATTGCATAGAGCCTCCTCGTTTGGGCACCAAATGCTAGAAGAAGTCATTTACCATTTGAACGGAGCTAAAAGATGGGCTCTATTTCTGACCTCATTGACGTACTAGTTTTACGGGGATCCCAAATTTAGAGATGGCGTTGTATAGGCAGCTTCCCTTCATGCTATCAAAAGCGGCTTTAAATCGACAAAGTGAGATAGTGTGCGCCGATTTGATTTTCTGTCCAATCAGTTTATTCATAAAGGGCTTTAGCCTTTCGTCGATAGGACCGCAGTGATTGTCGCAAACAGCGGGATCTTCGTGCTGTGTGGATTGGCCAAAATACACTGAAATTCCAACCTTAGGGCATGTATTCAACAGACCAAGTTCTTGGGAGCTGGTTCATGTTCACTACCAGATCCTCGCGGTCTGCTCAGCCGGCAAACCGTCTGTTCAGGGCCTTCCCCTTTCTAAGCCACCTTATTGCTATTCTCAGCTCGTCTTAGTCAAGTGGGGAGAGCCTATTTGTATAATGCTCAATTTCGAGCTTAATACTAAAATACTTCTCAATCAAAATGAAAAATCCACATAAGCTCAGCGACCAAACGTTCATAATCTCAGCTATTTAATCACCCCAATTCCTTTTGCGAGATAAAGGCTTTTATTATCTGATGGAATGTGTTGGTATGTATGTCACAACACATCAACTTCCACTCGAGTATTGCAATGCAACTTCATTGAATGCAGTTGCAGTGGGAAGTCATCAATCATTTGCGCAGAACCTCTCTAATATTCTAACACACCGACATGACTATAAATATTCGAAAATATTGCATAAATAATAATACAACTTTGTTGTGAAAAAAATCTCCCTTTCCACATCAAACCAACTAAATGTCTAACTGACTGACATTTTGACTGATTCGTTCATTAAGCCGTCAACGCGTTGCATTGGGGAGCAAAAGTAGCTGCTGCGCTGCAGTAATCACAAAAGCAATAGCTAGCAGCAGTGACAGTTACGCATGCGCACGCTGGCGGAAAATGCGCATGCAAGCGCGTTTCGAGGCGCATAACCAACTCGAACTGTACTTACTTACTTCGCCTTCCATGCTTCTCTTTAACAATTATTCTTACTAAGCTTAAAAAAAAATTCCACGCTTTGACGACGTGCGCTGCACATGCATACATATGTGCGTATGTCTGTATAATGCTCGTAATGCCCACGGCTTTTTTGGCGGTGTGTGCATGCAGTGAATGGGCTGCATAGTGACACAAACGGTTAATTAAATAATTTTGGGTTGACTAATTGAGATGTGTTGGTGTCACATCAAAATGATGGATGCATCCTCATAGCTGTGACTAGTTCGTTTTCCACGTCTGCGTCAAATCGTCCAATCAACACAACAGCATCACTGCCCTCGGGAATAGCGGCTTAGAAATATATGCATATGTTTACTACATGTTTGTCTACGTAGCACATGTGGATATGTTGTCGTTTTGGTTGATTTTATTTCTTCAATTCCTACGCTTGCATTAATTAGTTCTTCCCTACAGTTCTTGCGTCACAAATGGCGTACAAATTGCATGGCGGAATTGTAGTAATAACTTCTCTATCAACCATTGATCCGCTTAAATGAGATTATTAAGACAGATTCACAACGCTGATTGTTAAGTAAAATTCAAATAAATATTTTCATTTCCCACAACTGGAAATAATTATCTCATGGTTTTATAGAAATAAAGAAACTGATGTTGGTTTCACTGTAAATATTAAATAAAAATCATAGAAGTATGGACCATATTTGCCATTGGAGTTGGTGTCCAGATAGCAAACAATCTATCGGATCCACAAGCTGCATTATTTTTGAGCCGTGGTAATGCCGAATCTCAACTTGGTCACCGCTAGCGTCCAGAAGAGTACTGAAACCAAATCATTGGTCTCTATTTTACCGGATCTCGTTGCGTTCTTGAAAAGTTCAGTGCATAACGGGACTTTCCGGAAACATTTTCTTGCCAACCAGAAATTTCTCACTCACGTATTTAAATCCCCCTCCTTTCTACTTTGTAGCGGTCTGGAATCCATCGTCATTCTACGTGGAAATGTGACTTTCGGTTATCAAAGCGTAAAGTATTTGGTTATTGGTATTGTAGCGACACTATTAAGCTGCGCCTATTTCGGGTTTTCCGTCAGTCGCTATCGTCAAGCTCAACCAACGGTAGGCCCATTAAACGAGCTGTTTAGATGGCGTCGGACAAAAGCGAGCTGAGTGGGATTGAGTTGACATGTGAAGAGGTGGTTGGTATCGTGCGGAGCCTCCAAATGCCGGACGCTCATTGGGGATATCAGGGTTGAGTATGGATAAGTAGCTATTGAGACGGCTACAACATCGTGGCCGTAATTGGGACAGAGTAGTGCGGGTCTCTCGTGGCAGTCGAAGCTCAGATTCTGCGATAGGGATAATTGGGCTCCGATCACGGCATTCATAGGTCAAAAGTCGTGATTGGGGGTGAACGTCGGTACGTCGAGGGATCTAGTGGTTGTCGTATTGACAATTGCGGTTGTGTGCGCGGAAATTTAAATAAAATTTTCATATTGTTCACCGCCGGAAATGGTGTGCCGTTGACGTGAATTCCTAGTTGAAGTCTGACCTCCCTTGTCCAGGCGGTGAAGAGAAGTTACGTTCTGTGTGCTCACTTTTTTTGGTCGAGACGCTCGACCACCGGAATGAATGACAGTACTTTACGACAAAGTTTCTCTTCTACCGTAAATCCGACAACGAACTTTCGCTCCTTACACGGCAGCTGTAGTGGACGCCGTAAAGTCCCACTTGATAATTACCTTGCCACATCTATCACATTTCTTGTATGTATGTGTCAGACCATTCAAAGTACATGCCCTAAAAGCATGGTCCTATAACATTTGTCTGATTGTCATCAAAAAAAGGGGATGATATTCGTCATTTTCTTTGGAACTTTGTCCTACGTCCTCGGCTCATTTCTTAAATTCATACGGGGCGCCGCTTGATCCAATCCAGACGCCGACTTGCAGCCGCACCTCGAAATGGCCCCACCAAATCTACTTCTCTTTTCCCGCCCTGACCCAAAATTCAGCACGGGTTGGTCATCGCATTTACAGATGGATTACTTACATTGGCCAGGGTGAGTGAGTATAGTCGTGTAACTTTTACTGGATACCTAGGTACACGTTTTACCATATACACCATAATCTCTGTAGCACAGATAAAAGATATTTTTTTTTAACTTTCCGGAGGTCTAAAAAAATGAATCATAGTATAGTGCCCGCATTTATATAAGTACTGAAACTTTTTTTTTACCAGAATTGACGATAAAACGATGATATAGAATTGTTTTCGTAACTATAATATTTAATTCTTCGCAAATTTCTGCACAATAATTAAGGAGTTCTCACACAAGAGAACCATGTAATCATAATCAACAACAATACCCAAGGCGTATGTGTCACACATCATTCGTATACATATTTATGAATAAAGGTGGCCGACAGTGCGTCCAATTAAATATATCCAGCACATTTTTAACAACCAAAAATTCCCACACCCATTCACTTAACTCCATCACACCGCCATCTGTATACGTTACAAGAATTCGTCGCTCCAAGCGAGCTTACAAACGCTGACACGTACTTACGACAAACTCGCCCGCAGAGTAGACAAGTGGTTACGTGCCACAATGTATGCGGCAAGAATAATTATGGATTATTAATAAAGCAATGTGGAGGTAATGAGTACCAAGTAAGTAGAACAGCGCAAGGAGAGGAGCGGAGCCGAGCGGTTGTGAATAACGCCTGATTACACACGCCAGCCAGCCTTGCGGTGGTCAACAAACAAAAGAAAAAAATCATACAGCATGCTCCACAACGACGTCTGTGACGATGTCCCCCGTCATATCGCTGGACATGCATCTGGTACGCAACTAACTACTGGCAGCAACAGCAGCAGCGCCAGCGCAACAGCCAAGTGGCAAGTGGCACGTTCAGTAGTGTGGCAGCGAACAAGTACGACAAGTGCTGGCGCATGTTTTGATGGTGGCTGAAAGAAGAGAAGCCGCCACCGTCGTGCAAAGAAATTTTCATATCATCTGCTGGATTAGACGGACATACTACTACAAGAGCGTTAAAGCGTTTGCTTAGCCAGTTAGCAAATGAAGGCCTAAACACACTTAGTTCATCTCTACGCCGTGTTTGTTTTTTTTTTCTTTCGGTTTTTGGCTTTTATTAGCATTCTGAGGACAAGCCCCCGGTTGTTCGTGCGTTCATCTAAGGCGCAATTTACACGTCTACAGCTTGCAGACAGACAAGTGTGTGCGAACGCTTTAGATTTAGTGTGTTTAAATATGGTATGCACACATCCTGCCTAGCCACAACGCATTGCTTGTCATCGCATGTTGCACGTTTCTTGTTGTCTGCCACTGTGCATACAGTGTTTGCCGCATTCGTTTGTGTCTGTTGCTATTGGGTCCATTGGTGCCTAGTTAGTCATAAGAGCGCGGCATTATTCTGTCGTTTTTTGTAGGCTATTTTTTGTGCTGACCGCAAAAATTAACACAAGTTTTAAATTTTCCAAATGAGTAAGGCAACTAACCGCCAGCGAGTAAGCGACCGGTCCTTCCTACTAACATGGAATACCCATTTATCAGGTGTACTATGTGCATATTCACTTGTACGTACCTGCGCAGCATACAAATACACATACATATACATATTAGTGTTCTGCCATCCCCTTTATACCGGAGCTACACATCTGTAAACACTGACGCTCTTACATAGTTGCTGTCATTAAGCTTATTGCAAGTTCAACTTTAGCCGACACCAGCATTTTTTTTTTGTTGCAGCGGGTGTTCGTGGCCGTTGTGGTCGTGTAATGGTTTCATTCTTATCATTACTTTAATTAATTGCATGATAATTACATGTACACGCATGTACATATGTACGTACTACGTTGCAGTAACAAAATTTTAGTTAAATAAGTTAATACGTTCCAGAATATACAAACGCCTTGTTCAGTAATGCATCAATGCAAAGCATCATCCTAAATATGTTTCAATTCGGCATTTGAATGGCGTATAGGAAACTCCCTTTAGTGTTGAGTGTTGATCCTTTTCTCACGAGTCTTTTCCAAGATTTTGCGTATTGTGAATACCTGATCTATGGTGGAATTGCCAGGTCTAAAGCCACACTGATAAGGTTGACGGTGAGTTTCAGCCTTTCACACAATATGCTCGATATGACCTTGTAACCTATGCTTAGAAGGCTGATCCCGCGGTAGTTGGCGCGAATGGCGAGGTTGTCTTTCTTGTGGATTGGGCGGAATGCAGTCGTCGGGCATGCGTTCACCTGACTTGAATTGCTCGGCTTCCAGGCTGTCAGCTCCAACAGCTTTGTTGTTTTTCAGCCGCGTTATAGCTATTCCTACCTCGTCATAGTCAGGCGGTGGAACATCGGCGTTGAGCCCGATCGCAGCGTGGCCCTGTAGGCGGCATATTTTTTCTCTGCAGCTTTCTGACACTCCTCATCGTACCAGTTGTTCTTTCGGCCTCGCTGAATTCTGACTACTTCTTCGGCGGCGCTACTTAATGAGTGGAAAATGTGGTTCCACCGCTCGCATATATATGTCGGTTTGTTGAAGAGTGCTCTGCCACCTCCATATATGTATGTATGTATATGAAATGGGTCCTTAAGCACGATTTGAACTCAGTAAGTCATTAAAAGGACAATTTTGTGGCTCTTTTGGAGTATTATTGAGTACTGGCGTTATACAAAATTTGTAACTGCTTAATATGAAAATACTGCCCTCAAAAAGTTATTAAATAACCATTCATAAGTTTATGTATGTACGTATATACATACATAGGTATATAGGTACGTACGGTATTACATCCAGTTGTAAGATTTCTGCAACATAAATTCATTCGCACACTGCAATTTACAAATTTGGTTTTTTAATTGACACTTTGCTGCCAGCCGTTGCAGCCATTCCTGACGACAATGTCCTCAAGTAGCCAGTTGTTTTTTGTCAATTACCAACGATTTATAGCCACTAAAAAGCTAATTAGATAAAAAGCTGCGGCTTGTAAACTTATTTATTTACATATTTTTAATACGCGAATGCATGCGGTAGGCATGAGAACAAAAAAGTCAAAAAATTAAGCCCCCAATGCTGTGCGGCAAATGCTTGCAGGTTATAGCGAAAGTCACGCTGTTGGAAAGTTGAAAGGAAACCGCGCAGGCACTCTATTGCACACATGCCTGTGTATGTATGTATTTATGTATGTATGTATGTTACTAAGTAGCAACACACTTGATTTATTGGCACCACCATTTTTGGTGGCGATTGTTGAAAAATGCATTTCATTATTGACGCGCATTAGCGCATTTAAGTAAGGAAGACACTCATTTCCATATACACCTTAAAATACATAAATAATACATACATATGTACATATGTATGTACGTGTATGCATACCATTTAGTACGTACATGTGTGAATATTTGGCAAAAGTGTCGAGGGGAATCTATTTTGGTGTCATAGTGGCATTCCTTGCTAAATTGTCGCTTGTAAGTGACAGTCACTTTGACCAAATTCGGTAGGATATTGAGGAAGAGAATCGCGCTGTACAAGCTATCGTAAATTGATTTATTTTCTTTTCAATTAAAAATAAAACATTATTTTATTTAGAATATTTTAGGGCCAATTTCATTATTTACTGTTAGAAATGCAATTTATTGTCACCTCTACTGCCGCTTTGCATATAAAGCAAATTTCTTCTAATAGGGCAATTCTGACCAAGATAATACTTTTTGGAAATTTTTTTAGTTTGTGTTAAGGCCTGCGCTTTCACAAAAACCTCACACTAGCAGCGAAGAAAATTGATTGATAAATAAACTAGGAAAGAATGTTACTCATACGCCATGTGTGAACTAATAAATAATGAAGTAATATATTGGGATGTAAACATTTTATGAAGAAATTATCACGTATTCTCATTTGACCATTTACAACTTTAATTATCAATTAATTTTCTTCGTTGATAGCTTTACGTTTTTGTAAAAGAACACGCCTTAAAACAAATCAAAAGAATTTCCAAAAAATTTAATTTTTAAATTTTTTCGCCGCTAAAGTTTGCAATTTTTTTCATTCGCAAAGCAAATTTAAAACGATTTTTTATTGCTTTAAACAATAAAATTAAATTTTTTTTTAATTTAACTTAGTTTTTAGAAAATTTATTACTAAAAGACATACAGAATAGCGTGAAGACCTCTATCCTAACAAGATATATTTCAATTAGTCTTTCGACAGACAGAAAAGAGCTTTTAAGATATTTTCCCGAATTTAGAAAGGTCTTAACCCTAGAACGCATTACGGGATACCCGTGTGTCCACTAACAATTTCGAACTGCTGTGGCTAAAGTACCACTACTTGTAGAGCATTGAAACTTCGGATCTAGGAAACTTAAGTATTTTGCGTCGTTTGTGTTCGGTTCTGTGGTACCGCCCCATAAGCTTCTGAAGTCGACACCTACGCAAACACATAACCGGGGTATCCGTGTGTCTACTAGTTTTTATATGAAAAACTTAGCAAGTAAAAAATTATTCATAGGTTTTTTTCGTAAAATTTTTATTAAAAATCTATAAAATTACATTACAAAATTTTTGTATGAAATTTAGCTGAAAATATTTTATTAAAATGTACAAGTTATTCCGGTCTCAAATGATGCGCATACACTTTTTCAGCTGTGTTCAAAGCACATTCCAACCTCGGATAAGGACCTCTTCTTTTTTGACGACCATGGCATACGTATAAAAGACTACGAGTTAGACCCCGTCGCAGAATATTGTCGTTCGCCTTAGTTGAGAGTTTTCAAGACCGGCTCCCGTCATTATAGCAAAATCGTGCTTGGTGATCACGAAAATTTTTACGAGGGAATGTCTGATAACGGGCCGAGACTGATCAACTTCGCTAAGGCCCGAAGTAAGGCTAGTAGTTTGGGTTGCTAAATTTCAAAAAAGCTCACTCAAGCCACGTGGCTGTCTCCGACATTTTGTGACACGCGGAAAGCCACGCTTCCAATGTTTTAGATGTACGCACATTCTGAAGGTCAAACATCGACTCGGTCGATCTCTTGTTGCAGGGCGGATACGAGCAACCCTTGGCGCTGCTTCTTCTTTTTCAATTCACTGTTTATTAAGGCTACTCCTAAATCTGCATTTGCAGGAAACAGACATTTTCTGCATCAAACATTTCGACATCCCTTATATTGGGCCCCTGCTCTTCACCGTACTCAGATAAAGAATATTCTCCATAGTCCACAATGGTGTCAAAAAGAGACTGAATATACGCCTCGTCTTCTGCAGCACTCAATATGTAAAAGAAAAGGCATTAAAAATTTTGATTTGTCAAAATATTTCATTATGTTATCCGAATCGACTGTGTACCGAATAAACCTGTCAAACTGCCAGCAAAGAATTTCCCGTAGTTGATTCGATTGTGTATTTTTTTAATTCATGTTTTTCAGAGAGCTCCTCTCTATCGATTTTAACAAAAGCTAGTCATGCTGCCCAAGCCAGGGAAAATAACCCAACTAGTTGTTTACCAAATTACTTTCTTTATACACAGCTGGTAAGATTGTGGAGCGCATGTGGAGTCAATAACGATTCAGAAAGGGTAGATTTACATTGGATTCGGTGTCTGCTGTAATCCAGCTTACTAGTCTTGCAATCATCGGATAACTAAGGCGGAGGGTCTGCTGTTGAGTAATTATAAGGATCAATGCATAAAATGCGTTTCAACTAGAAAAACTGAGCGAAATTATTGGACAGGACGCATCGCTTGGAAATATCGCAATTTCTTTTGACGTAGAATACGTCTTACCTTAAGGTATGGGGGCTATGTTCAAATGTTGTAGTTGTAATTTTTAGAGCTTCACAAAAACGCTTATTGCACGAGAACTAATAAAGCGATTTCAAAGAAAAGTGTGGCGTTTCAAAGATAAAATTCCAAACCTGTCGACAGATTCATTTTTGTAAATAACCAATTCGGTTTCTGTCGTAAAAACAACGGTAAACATTGCCTTATTTTGGGGTCAATTTTGAGCCTTTAAAGTGCTCTAGCAACTTATTGTTGGCATATATAACTTTCATTTTCGGGATATAGGTTCTTTGGAGCAGTAGAAATATTATCGGGTACAAATTTTATATAAATTTAACAAATATTGAGCATTTTAAGGCAAAAAATTGTTGAAAAAATTTGCAAATTTTTTTCATTACCAAAATGCTCGAAAACCGCTCGAATGATTTTGTTTTTGTTTTCTTTAATCAAAAATTCAAGAGTTTTCCTTTCGTTTGGTATATGGGAAGTATTGGTTGATATCTTCTATATATGTTTATTTTATTCAAATATATGGGCATAAATGATTTTCCATACAAAATCACCTCGTCATCATTTTGCAAACACGTGCATATGTTGGAAGTGTGGGAAGGAGACAAAAAGTATGTATGCGTATGTAATGCGGCTTTTGATAAACAGAGGCGCGCTATTTATAACCTAATCGCAGCGTGTGTACATATGTAAATACATACATACGTACATATGTTGATTGCAGTTAATGTGGATCTGTTTCTATTTTTAGAGCCGTTTTCTGAAGTAACCTTTAATTTTAAAGCTCACTTTATATTTAAAGGTTGGATTAAAAATAAAGCTAAGTGAAAAGTTAAGCATTTCTATTATCGGTTTTTGACGTATGTATGTTTCTTGGTTGTAAACCAATCTAAAACCAATAATAAAATGATTTACTTTAGACAAAATCATAAATTTTAATGCAACCTTTAAATATAAAGTGAGCTTCAAGGTTACAGGTTACTTGAGAAAACGGCCCTTAGTAATCTATGTATGTCTATACATACATATGTACATACATATTATATATGTACATACATATATGAACACATGTATGCATAATACGCGAAGACTTTTCGAAGTGAAACAACATTTAGAAAAAGTCCAATCCAAGAATAAAAGTAAAGGTGAGGACGTACATAGATAAAGAAAAGGATAAAGGCCAAGGTAAAAATAAACACAAAAACAAAGTTGAGTAAAGATAAAGGCAAACATGAAGACCAAGGTAAATTTAAACACTTTACTTATATGTATAAGTGCAAAGGTGAAGGGGAATATGTATATGAAGAATATGATAAACATAAAAATAAAAACAAAGATAAATATAAAGAAAAAGATGCGGATGAGGATACCGATAAAAGTATAGATGAAGATAGAGGAAGAAAGATTAAAATAAAGGT